CGGGAGTAGAAAATGCAACAAGTGCGGCAAACGGCATTTGACTCACGACTTTATTTGACACGAGAGGAGCGAGTTTTTAATAAACGAGTGAGTTAAAAAGTTTACCGAACGTGTTGCATACTATACTTTTTCTACGACCGTTAGTTTTTGGGTACATTTTCGCAAAACACAAATACATTCACTGACATGACTGTCAGAAGACCATACAACAAAATATTGTTTTCCTAAATTTACGCCCCAACGTCTAACATTCAGTTTGAAGTTAAGTTCCTCCGTCGACTCTTGCAGCTTTTCGGAAATTTGAATTCGAATGTGAGGGTAGTTATTTAGATTTAGTTATTTTTAGCTTCGATTATTAAATGTAAAAGATCCGTTTTGAATTGTATCGATATGATAATTGAAGAAAATTATTTCAACTTTAGGCTCTCGAAACTTGTAAAATGTAAAGCGAAATTGAAATTTATGGAGATGATTACTGCAGCGAGCTTACGTCAAGTACCGCTTTACATAACAATATTGTTGCTCGCAGTCGCAAGCAATCAAGAAGAAAATGGAGCGAAACGAGGGCGTTTTCTTAACCTCTTTGTTAAAAATAAAAGAACAGCAAAAGTCTTCTATGGTGCTAAAAATTCTTCAAGCTTGCCTTTATAGGATTTTCTTTTTATATATATAAAACAAAAAAAAAGTTAATTGGGCTGCCTACAACAACGAATGGCGCTTTTCTTTTACGCTGCGTTTTGTAAATCCATCCAACATTAGGTATTGGTAAAAAACGTTTAACTTTTTGACTTAAAAATCTTTAGGAATTCGTGCACAACAATTTGATGTATTGTTATTGACCACAGTGAGTCACAGCCAAGCGCCAGCCATGGCGCCAGTTTCGCTCATGAGAGGGGTAGGGGTCGTAGATTTTATATCCACACTCTTGCCTTTACGGCAATCGTTGCGCTTTGCGGTATTATTTTTATGCGGCTATTAACTTATCACCACTTCAGATTTTCCTCGGTGGTTATAAACACAACAAGGAAGAGTATAGAAAATGTATTTTCAAACGAAAAAGATATGTATAATTTCCTACTTATTGGAACAAATTATTCTATTGGGAATGTTATTAGTAATTGTAATAACATGCAATGTAGCATTAAAATTTAGAAATAATTACCATGCATTTGCATTTTTCGAGAAGTGTGCTATGCACAAATATTTTTCAAAGTTGTGATAATTAAGGGAGATACTATCTTACCTATCTATCTTACTGTTGCGGCAGTCTGTGTATTTTTTTAATGTTAACTAAAGTTTTTGGTATGATTTTACGCTTATTTCTGGGGTAAGTAGAATATTAAGAAATATTCATGTGTCCTAAAAATGCCTCCTTCAGAAGGAAGGAGCCCAACAAAAATGTTTTTTCTTTATTTATTTATTAAAGTTGATACTGACAAAATATTGGGCTAAAATAATTTATTTTCAATATTTTTGCTGCAACAATAATTATTCTCTGAGATAATTCATTCTCCCGCATGAAAATTAATGGAATAATTTATGTAAACCTCCAAATAACTACAAAGTATTTTTTTAGTTTAAACAGGAGTTCCTTTTTTGCCGAATTGTCTAAAACATATTATTGTTTTCTGAAAAATTAAAAATATCCCCATAGGAAAAAATCTAGGGCAAAATAAGTTGCACCTCTCTTTTAACGACTCCCCTATATAAAAAAATTAAATTTCATTTAGGTATTCTCATTTGAATAATAATTACACAATAAAAGATCTTTGAGGCCTTTCTACGTACACTGCGTGCCAAAAATAAAAGAAAACGAATATTTAGTAAAATAAATTCTAATTAATGAAAATGTATAACGGTTTATAATGACGTCTTTATGACGCATGAATAGGCGAAGAAGGCTATGGAAACAAATTCCGATGCATCTCACAAAAAATGATTTTTTTGTTATTCCTAATAGTTAGCGTTGTACGCTTGTATTATTGACTTTGAAGTTTATCCACAAAGGTGAATCTTATTAAGATTGTTTGAAAGCAAAATGGACCAACGAGCCCATAGGATGAGAAATATTTCCCTTGAACAATGTACCGCATGTATCGCTTTCCGCTTTGGCGTGGTACACAATCTGCAATATTCAGAGCACTGGTACGATATCGAGACTCTGGTAGAAACCAAAGAAGATCTGGATAAGCTCGAATCAGGATAACAACAAATAATCAAGATCCACAGCACAGATTTACCACACTCCTGCACCTGCACTCCAGCAGGAATTCTCTTTTCTGCCGTATTATTCAAGAAGGATAGCAGAAAACAATATTACTCTCGCTAGCTAGCAGCTGCAGCTGGTCCCCTACTATCCATAGACCTGCGAAATTTGTGGAAACAGCGAATGGAGCAGTGTATTGTTTTCTGACGAATGACATTGTGCTTTTTTGACGATGATGACCGTAGAAGAGTGTATGAATGCAACATTGTCGAAACTGACAGCTACAAAAGCGGCTCTCCTATCTATGATCGTATGGCATTAGTTGGGGGACACGCGGATTTAGTTCTGGTTCAGGGAGGTCGTTTACCATCTGACCGATACATAACAGACATTTTAGAACCCTATGTAATGGTATGTGGCCCATTTATTGGGCAAGAAATGATATTCATGCACGATAATGCAACATTACCTCCGGCAAGTGGGAGTTAGAACTTTAACTTCCCAATATGAAACCTATGGGACATCAAAATTCTAATTTGCTTGACCAGCGCGAGGTCCCGATATGAACCTTATTGACCACTTATGGGACATCAGAAACCTAATTTCAAGTATGCCAAGGACGCTGTGAAGCAGTAAGGAGTTGCAATAGGCGATATTAAATTTTAGTTTATTAACAAATCGGAAAATAAAATGTGTGTTACAGTACACCGCGTATATAATTTGATGTCTCCAATTTAAAAATAATTTTCGTTGTTTTTTTCTAAATATATGATAAAATATTTATAAGCTGCAACTGAATGTGGCAAACAAGAATTTTGTGCTGTAACATTTAAGATATATTAGAAATTAAGACAATTGCTCCCCTTAAGCTTACTTATTTATTGTGAAACTTATTCAATAATATACCGGGTTAGTAAAACGTGCAGATACGCTTAAATATATCCAAAACTGACAAAGCTGAATATTTATAATTCTGGTACACTGATACACATCTACACATATACACATGTTCAAAAACCTGCAACAATCTGAGATATTAAGAATTTTTTATTAAGAGTGCATGTTTCAAAATTCCCAGGCATCGAATTCTATTGTTCCAGATTTCGCAGTTTTGGAGATATCTAAGCGTTCCGATACTTCTTACTAACAACCATGGGATATTCTAGATATAGTCGGGGCGATTTGTGGTGCCATAGTTGGCAATAAAGTGCCAGACAGAATAAAATAGATTGTTCATCTTGCTTCCACTTATACTTCAACAGAAGTTGTTCCGCCCTAAATGTCTATCTGATCAATGCAATTCAGCCGCCACGATTATATTACTTGGGAGTAAGAGAGACAGAATTAGTTATAATTGTCATTTATTAATCTAACTAGTACGCTCATACTTAGAGATGTGCTCTTTAATAATATCTGAATATTTAAGTAGGTTAATCTACATAAAAAAAATATAACAATTTGTTAAATAAACTATTGTCCGAAAACTGTGTCCATAATTTAAACAATACCGTATAAAATAAAATTTGCCAATTGTAGATATACAAGTAAACTGTATTTAGTTTGTATTTACGATGAAACGTCTTCATCAGCAGAGCCAAAATTGAAACTGATACTACTAAAAAGTAATCCTTCATCAACACTCATTACAAGTGTATTTTCTTTTTTCCAATATTCTTTTGTTATATTTTCTGTATGTGTTATACAACTGATCCAATTTTCTTTGCTAACTGTCCGAAGAGCTGCCTTCCAAACAGATACTACTCAGTATCATCGTGCCTTGCCTCACTTACAATATTTTTATTAAAAAATATTTGGCACTGAGCCGACACCAATTATATACATGTAAATTACGGCAAATTTGTTTTATAAATTTTGTCAATATTTATCAACTCACATTTGAGACCATTTTTTGGGTAATTAATCCGATTATTGTACAACCACCTTCGCTACGTCTAGAATGATATCGTACATTATCTATAAGAATTAAAGACGACCTGTCGAGTTTCGGCAGCATTTTTTTTTTGCAAAAATGCGAGCCCGTTTTGTAATGATTTTGGTTTTATGACCGATTATGCCATCGCAAATCGTACCTACTATACTATAATTGACATTTTTTCAAAATACACAAACAGCTGACGATTTTTTCAAAATTGACTCTTCTTTTAACCGAACATTGAAATAAAAATTCAACACCTGAACAATTTCAATTGCTATTGCTATTGTCAAAATTGATACATCAATTCTTTTGCGGACGAACAAAGATTGTTTTGACATAAATATTTCCGCCTATTGATATTTCTGGATACATTTTGGCTTTCCATGGTTACAGAACAAAAATTAAGCACTCGTATATAAGCCACCCGAGTGAACGATTAAGTTTTGTTGTTGACTAAGCCAAAACAACTGAAACCGGCAAAATTGCGAAAAAATTAATATTCCGCCCTCTTGGTCCACGCTGGGATTCGATCTTTGATCCAGAAAATAGGTTAGTGGTAATTGGCCAATGGGAACTGACAGCGGCATGATAAAAACCTTTTGTTCTCGCGGGATTATATCCTTTATAGCGCCGATGCGGGGCGTAGGGGTGGGGGCCCAGCGAAGTAACTTCCAGAGATGAATGGAATGAAAATACCGGACGACAAAAGAAGTCGCGTAATTATTCCCAAATGCGTATTCATGCAGGCTCCCACCCTCTTTTAGTGGGGAATAACCATTATTAAAGCCGCCCTTAGTCTTATCGTGAGGTTTTAGCATATAAAATATTAATATCTATTATTCTTTTCTTTTTTTGCAGGACCGATTTAAGGATCGTCAGTGAGGCCGTCCAAAGCAAAAGCCTTAACAACCTCATTATGGTGAGTGTCAAAAAGTTTTAAATTCGTTTCCCTCCAAAGAAACCAAAAAGAAATATTTAATTTCAAAAATTCGACTCCAAAGGGTGCAGAACGTCAGTCTCACCTAGACCCTATGTAAATCCGCCACCGCCTCGTTGGAAACAAAGAAACCAAAATGCTTTCTAGGTATTTTTTTATAAAATGTATACAAAAACGCATCTAATATGTGATTTTCCTCCACAATATAAATCGGTAAACTGTGGCGGCGAATAGGGCCCCCAATGTCGGTCCCACCCAGTAGATCTGAAATGAAAAACGACGTATTTGACATGTGAAAATTAATAACCTGTTCTGTTGCCTATGAATCGCAGTTAAATACACAGTAACTAAAGTTCTTGGAACAGATTATTTCCCGAAGAATTTCTTTATTTTTTTTAATATATTTTATATAAGTTGAACATCGTTATATTTGGTACCGAGTAGTTGGGGGTTTCTTTAAGTATCTGCTGAACTCGGAATATTTATAATCCAACTTCTAGATCGTCGTATCGTTCAAGCCTATAGCCCGTAATATAAAAGAATGGGGTTTGATATTTTTTGACACCCACTCACAGAGTTTGTATGTTATATGTTTTTTTTCTCTATTATCTTCTAAATGTACTAATAAAAATAAAGAGACAAATTCCTTTTTAATCCGATTTCAAAAACATATGACAAACAATCCGTAGACGCCCGTTCTGAACTTTCTTCTTATTCTAACCCATTTTGTCACGTCTTTGTCACTTTGTTGGATTTTATTATTTTCATTTCCACTGTTCGCATCATTTGCATGGCCTTTGTGATATCTCATCAATTTTTTATCATTCAAAATTCTAGTGGTTTTGTCGGCTTTCTTTTTACCATACTGTTGTGAGAAATAAGACATTTGTACAATAGAAATAATATTAACATTACTCCGTTAATTTAAAATTGCCGCCTCATAAAGATTGGGTGTAAGTCCGTGTTACTATTTGCAGCAATCTTGTAACCACTGTCACTCCCACCGTTATAAATGGCGGTCAGCGTTGTGTTTTTATTCTAGTTAACATCTTTTTGTTTTATAGTAATTATCTGTGACTAACAAGAAAATGCCGGCGACGAGATACATTAAGTGGTCTTCCATCCTTTAAAGTTTAAACTCCCCATCCTGCAAGTATAACAATTTTTTTAAAGCAAATTTATCATCCATGATCTTATTTCCCACACAGCGGATTAAATAACTTTTTCTTGCTTTGTGCTCATTTAAACCATATTTGTTTTCATCTTATTTCTTTCCTAGAACCACTTTGTTTTGCAATAGAATGTTGTTCCACATTTTAATTTTTCTGATGAGCCTACAATCTTGGTCTGAAGCTTGAAATAATTGAGAATAAATGACAGTTGTTACAGAAGCACCCAAGATCTTTCATTTCTTTCTCTAAACTTGATAAGCCAATAAAAGCGTATCCCATTGGTATCCAGTGCCCCGTTGCTATAAGTCTAACTGCTCTTTTATATATTCTAGCTTTGTAGTGTTTAGACATTTGTTCCTCCATATATTATCTTTTAGGCATCATTTGTGGTTTTCAAATTTCCATCGCTGGTTATATTTGCACCCAGGTATTTAACTTGTTTAACGATTTTCGTATCAATTTCTAATTTACTTCTTATCAGGACTTTAGATGTCATACATTTATGCATTATATATTGGAATGAATACGAGGTTAGCGCCAAAATTTCCCGGCCTGACATATATACAGCTGTAGTATCACGATAAAACTTTGTCTTCTTTTAAATATATATCTTAGTAGGCTGCGAAAAAAAAATTAACAGCATTTTAAACAAGACGTGTCGGAAAAAATGTCGCACATAACGCAAATTGAGTATAGAGCAGTCAAAGTCTTTGACAAAAGAAGGGTTAGCACCTAAAATTATTAAAGAAAAGCTCGATGGTGTGTACGGCCAAAGTTCTCCTTCCTATTCTATAGTGAAAGAATGGGCAAAAGGTTTTCGAATGGGGCAGGAGTCCCTTGAAGATGATTCAAGAACTGGTCGACCAATGGAGGTCATAACGGAAGATATTATTGCGATTGTAGAAGAGGTGGTATCGAATGATCGACGTTTAAAGGCCAAGGAAATCTGAGACATTACTAAGCTTTCTGATACAAATGTTCGTCGAATCCTGCATGATCAGTTAGGTATGCATAAGGTTAGTGCAAGATGGGTTCCTAAAAACCTTTCGGCTATTCAAAAAACAACGCCGTGTCGAGTGTGCGCGTTCTTTTTTGGAACTCTGTGGGTCGGAACCGAAGCCTGTGAAAGAAACTATTGTGACGGGAGATGAAACTATGGTTCTCTATTATGATTCTCTATCCAAAAAAGAATCAATGGAGTGGCGTCGTAAGGGTGAAGCACCTCCAAGAAAATTCAGAGTCTGCCAGTCAACAAAAAAGGTGCTGACCACGATCTTTTGGGATTGTGAAGGCATTCTTTTTATAGATTTTAAAGAAAGTAATACCATTGTAAATGGTAAATATTACGCAACATTATTACATAAATTGCGAGACTGTATACGTGTACAACTTCGAGGAAAACTCACCAGAGGCATGCGTCTTTTGCACGATAATGCACCTGTCCATACTGCTGATGTTGCAGAAGCTGCTAGTTTAAAGTGTGAGTTCCAACAGATAGATCATCCTCCGTATAGTCCAGATATGGCCTCGAGCGACTATTATTTGTTTGGATATTTGACAAAGGACTTACGTGAACGACGGTTTAACGACGAAGTTGAGTTAAAAGAGGCTGTTTTAGCTCATTTTGCAGACAAACCAAAAAAATATTGTTTTAAAGGGATTGAGTTGTTAATAAAGAGATGTAAAAAGTGTATTGAAGTTAAGGGGGATTATATTAAAAAATAATAAAAAATTGTTACTCTACTTTGTTGTTTTCATATTCAGGCCGGGAAATTTTGGCGCTCCCCTCGTATATCCATTACTACATTGTAAATTAATGGACTGATGCAATTATCATCAACAAACTAGGTATTTTTAAAATTGGGATGCAAATGAGTTTTATCCTGTTCTATTTTTAAAAAATACGTTGTTAGTTTTTATCTCCACTAAGATCATTTGTTTTTTTTTGGTATTCTGGGAAGGTAATAGAGAAAAAATTATACAACAGATCTGTAAAAAGTTTTAACATAGTCCTCTTAAACTCTTTGAATTGGGTGTCAAAATATAAACTATAACAGTCTACATTACCTTCAAAAACATACTCTCTCTCAAATCTGCTTGAACGTCTGTAAGATGATTTGGAATGGATAATTTGAAAACAAAATATAACTGATAAAGAACCGTTTAAAAACACATGATTCACACCTGCAACCCCGAGCCTCAATGTGGTAAATAAAATAAACTTACCCAGTGGTCGGTGTAATTTCCACTAAATACCGCTGGACCAAAACTCCTAGACGGGTTCATACTTGCCCCAGTGTAAGCGCCCTAAAAAATCACTGTGCTGCCATGCAATCAAGATAATATAGAACTTACCGCCCCTAAATTTAACACCACCACCAACAGTCCGATCCTGAGCGATACAGAGTCCAGCTTATCGGAGTTCCTTTCGTCCCAGGACGCGCATATGGCCAAGTTTAGTATAATGCTAAGGATGGTCTCCATCGCTAGGGCCTAGAAACATATCAACTCGTCAACGCGATTTTTGGACTTAAATTTGGGCATTTACCTGCCATACGGTGATCGAGGGATTCACCAAGTTGACGCAGACTCCATCGTTCAGGTGGTCGTCGTTGGTTACGACCTGCAAATCGACCAGACTTAAGCTCAATGCTCTTTAAATGCTTGTTGGAGGTGCGCAGGTGCATGTTGGTACTTACGAAATGAAGTCCTGACCCAGTCAACGAGCCTAACACTTGAGTTATGAGATAAGTCGGCACTTCAGTCCAAGTGATTTGTCCCATTACGAGCGCGGCAATGGTGACCGAAGGGTTGACTAGCGCCCCCGATAAGTGAGCGAAAGTCTGAAACAAAATCAACGTTTGGTGTTTAATAAAATAAAAAAGGAACCTTGCAGAAATTTGTACCGTCTGTGTTTTATAGTATTCGATACTAGTACTTTCGCATTGCATTTCGGTAGTTTCAACATAATAGTGGTAGTGTGCACGAAATAAACAAATGGAAATAACAATTAGGAATCAAAGTAAATAACAAATATTTAAATTATTTTCGTTATTTTGATTAGGAATGACACAAAAAACAACGAAGGCCAAGGAGTAGAAGAAGACACGATAAACATAAAAGGGCCAGAGCAGTAGTACCAGAAAAATATGAACAATCAATAAAAAACTGGGAGTATGTTAATAAAAGATTGGTGAAAATTAACCTGGAAATTAAAGGGAGACTCATAACAGTCATAGCAGTGTACGTTCCAACAGATGACGCCAACAAAAATGTAAAAACCGATTATAGACTATATTATTATGAAGCAGACATCCATCATAAAAACAAACAAAGAAAAACGCTGCAAATATTAGCAGAAATAAATAACTAAAAAAATCCTAAATGAAGCAGCATACGATTCACTTGGAAAATTAGAAAAACATCGTTAAGCCCGGGTGAATTGATGACTATCTAAGACAGATAATAGAGGAAAAGAAAGAAGCATACCAAAAGTGGCTTAGTACAAGAGAGAGCTAAACCTATGTGAAAACGTGGACAACGATAGGAGAAAGTAAAAGTAGAGAAGCCTGGAAAGTTGTCCCAACACAAGGAAAAACCTAAAAGAAAAAACCAATTCATCTCTCATAGATAGCAGCGACTGGAACAAATATTTCTATGAACTGTTAAAGAAACATAGGTAGCACGAATAGGGATTCGTTAGTTGAGAACACTATAGAAAAGTATAGAGTATAATGGCTGAAGAAATTGATCAAACATTAAGGGGAATGAAAAACTATGCAGTTAAAAGAAGCCTTAGCAGGAATGTTCACAGAATATATGAAGAAGCAGGAAACAGCACCAAAGTAGTGCAATATTTAGTAAAGTAGAAAATTATAGAGGACTGTCGCTATCTCAATTGGAAGGTTATACATACGGATTGACAGTGTCGAGAGCAAGCTGAACAATAATAGACGGCAAAGCGGCTTTTTATTTGAGACAATAATAGGAACACGCCATGCCAAACATAAACCAAACTATGTGAGAACTATAAGAGATCTATATAGCAATACAACGTCTTTTGTGAATATAAACGGAAAACTATTGAATGCATTCCCAACAATAGGCTTGTTTCAAAGATATTGCATGGCACCTACTCTGTAAAATATATGTATCTCAAGCTATCAGAAATTGCTCTGTGATTGTTACTAATTTGATTTTCGGCGACATAATTCGCCTTTTCTAATCTAGTAGGTTTAAGTCAGGCGAGGGAACTGGCCACGTCGAACTATCCCCTTGTTTGAAAATTTTCATCTAATCAGTTTTCAACACCCTGCCTTCATCATGCTGAAAGAACATTTCCAAGCGAGTGCGTATGGAATTATTCTTTAACAATTTGATCAGACCATTTGTAACGAAATTTAAGTAAGCATTAGCAAAATTAAAGGACCTATGATACCGGTCCGAACATTAATGGAGTGTGCTTTTTTTTTTCGAATATCCCTTAGTTATTCAGAAAAAAAAATTCCTGAGTGTCGTGAAATGTAGTTTTTAAAGAGATTTATTTTGTGTTTAGTGTGCAAGATAAGATCTCAACGATGAAACAAAACACAAAAAACCAAGATTCGAAAAAATTGAAAGTCGCCGGACTTTTTTTTGACAAAAAAACAGTATTTTTCTTTTTTAATTGGGGAACTAAAAAATTTCCAACTAAGATATATTTATTAAAAACGCTCTGTATATCAGCAAATGTGGGGGACGATGTCGGTGGCTGCGACAGATGATTACGAGTGGCACACAAATGAATAATTTACTAAATCTAATCGCGCGGCAGTAAATCAACCGTAAAATATTTTTACTCGATTCCGATAATTATTTATACTAGGTAATCAGTTTTTGTTGAAAAAATACTTAATCTCGCTTGTTTTATCGATAAAAAATTTAAAAGCGGGTCGTAATTCATTGCCGATAATCGATGTCTAATGGTTATTTCATTAAAATATCTGGATTATCGAGCTATTGATGTTTTTTTTTTCTTTTTCAGTGGACAGTTATCTTTGTTTTTATTTTATTTTTGCCTATTAATAGTAGAAAAATTGCGTATTTATCTACAAATACGGAAGCTATACGTTTTTTCTAATCCTCTCTAAATTTGTTCCAACTTTAGTAACTTACCATCAGTATTTTAGAGATGTAGTAGAAAAATTTAATATATATAAAATTTTCAAAAGTCGACAGTTACATTATAATAATACTTGACATTTTCGACGAAAAAACATTCCTATGAACATTTGGTCTTTACACTTTGTTATATTACAGACGACCCTGACGGCGATTACGTGTTTCTTTCGGTTTTTTTAAAAACCTATAGAACCCATTAATCGTGCCCCTGAAATATTTTCAATATTCTTATAAAATCTTTAAAGCATTTAAATCAATAATCTTGTAAAGGAAACGGTGACCAAATTTTAGTCACATTTATCTTTATAAACCAAAAAAAAGTTTTATAAATGCATGATCTACCTACGATGATTTTGGAATTACTAACAGTTTTATACTTAAATTGGCAAAATGGTAATTATAATAACTTTCGTAAGCGGTATAAAACTAAAATTAACCTAAAAACCAATTAACAACAATTAGTCAAATTAGACAAATGTCAATGTCAATTATCCAATCATTTCAGTTGTTTATTTATTTTTTCCTAAAAGAAGTTTGCTTTGTTTTTATTTTCGACTGTTGTTGCAAGCAGTCTTGACCTTGCCCCAATTTTTATAAAAGATGTTACCAACTTGAAAAAAACATTTATCATGACCTCATAACAGTCACAGTTTTAAAGTTTATAAGAGTTTTACGTAGTAAGCTACTAACTAACCAAAACTAACCAAAAAACAACAACAAAGTAATCGAAAAGTTTTGGACGCAATATTAAAAAACTTGAAGTTTTTGGTATTTATTAGACGTCTTGTAACTTGCAACTCCAATGGTTTTCGTATAAAACTATAAAGAGTAAAGTTCTTTGAACCCTTATAAATATATGTTACCTTAAGCCTTAAATGTCACACATATATAAATTTTACCATCTGTCTTCGCGAAAAACTCACTCCTGATTTCCTCTTAATTTTGTACATCATCATTAAAAAATTGTTTTTTTTAAGAACGATTTATTTTTGTGTTTGTATTAACCTATAAAACTATTGTTGCACATATATTGTTATGCAACAAGTGCGGCAAATGGCATTTGACTAACGAGTTTATTTGACACGAGCGGATCGCAGCGTAGCGAGTGTTTAATAAACGAGTGACTTAAAATCTTATTCTAACGATCGAAGAAAAAGTATAGTATGCAACACGTTCGGTAAACTTTTTAAGTCATTTTATCGTTTAATATAAACTCGTGAGTCAAATGCCGTTTACCGCACTTGTTGCATTATATACTATTACCGAACCTGTTGCATACTATACTTTTTCTACGACCGTTAGTTTTTGGGTACATTTTCGCAAAGACGAAGACATTCACTGACATGACCGTCAGAATTGACAAACGTCAAAGCGTGAAAACATCCAATTGCTCCCAAACCCATGCGGTAAAATCCCGGAAATGTCCGAAGTGACTCGGAAAACGAAACTGACGTGGTAAAGTGACGCTTCCCGGACGCCAGATCGGTGTGTAATTAGGTATTTTATAGGGGGGAATAAAAAAAAACTTTTTAGGTATTTTTGAAGTTTTCTTTTATAAAAAAAGACCTATACTCAATTCTAACTCTTCTTTCGTAATATATAATTTTCTAATATTTATTATTATTATTATTTGTGTCTTTCTGAGAAAAAGTGCACAAAGTATAATATGGGCCCTTCTGTTAACATGGGACACACAATGCAAGTGGCCCCATCTTTTTTTACAATTCTAATATACAATTAGTGAAAATGGCCTGCACTTTATATTCTTTTTGTAGTACAAATATCATTAATAAGTCGGTATGTAAACTTATTAAATTTTAACGTAGTAATTTTGTTACCCGTTGACCCATATTTGGATGTATGCTAATTATTTTACTGTCCATTGAAAAAAATGTAAGAAAGGCTTGGTCTCGGAATAGCAGTTAATAACCAAATAAAAAAGAAAATCTTGCAATTCACAAATCACCACCTCTTCACCATAGTAAAATTTCAAAAATGCAGACCGAAAACTTGAATTATAAGAGGAAGTTGATAAATTTCTTCTAATTGATGAAAACAATGACATGGAAGAAATTGATTAAGTTCCAAATAATGTTGCTGATCACTTCAAAGATGATATAAAGAGAGAATTATGAGTTTAATATCTGCTGCTCAGCATTTGGACACATGAGCAATGTTCTGGGACAGAAAATCATACATATGTTTGCGATTTTTATCTTTTTTTTTATTTAGCTATATTTTATTCTGCTTGTATTTTGTTGTGCATTTCATAAACGATATTAGGTATTTTTATTTATTTTACCAAAATTTTTCAAGATAAAATGTTTTCGTAATTCAAACACAAACTCTTGCATGCATGCATTTTTTTTTTCAGATATATTTTTGCGAGTTATTGAAAAATATGTATATATTTTTGAAAATGTAAAAAACGCAAATTTTATACTCTATAAATATACCTGGTGTTCCATTAAAAATAAGTTTGCTTTATAACTCAGAAATACTGAATATGTAACAAATTGCATTCTACGGAAAAAATAACAATATAATAGTATTTCACCTCTTCTATAAGTTTACTGATAACGAGGGGGTACCAAATGCAATCACAAATTCCCAAATTGTATCTTAAAAACTACGATTACTACGATAATGTCGTTAATAGCATCTTCAATTGTATTCTTTCTATAAAAATAACTGAGATACCCCGCAAAAGCATCCAAAATGGGACATCCGGTACAACAAAGTCGCGTATTTTCAATTCCTTCACCCCCTGACCGGTGTCCAAAACTCACCTGAATGGCAACCGCAACCGCCAAACCAGCCGTGAAACTGACATGCATGGACGAAACATTTCCCTGTATTCCGAAAGTGCATCCCACGCACGACAGGAATACCAGCAACGTCGTGCCGAAATACTCAGACAGACCGACGATCAGATGGCGCCACAATGGCGACCTCTTCTCCGCGCCGTAATCTGAAAAAAAGTAACCGAACGTCGAATGGTCTATCTCAATCGTTTCACGTGGCGAACCTTTGTTACCGTTTTCCATGTCGCATTACCGTTTTGGGTGGCCTCGTTTTTAGAATACTGCGCGATGCACCTGACGCGTCGTAATAACGCTTCTCGTAAAGCCGCCTTAATCCTTTCTTGATACGTAGACGCCGGCGAGCGCATTGTCAACGGTTTAACAACGTTTGCCGAAGGCTTAGGGGGGATTAATTTATGCGAAAAAAGTGTTTCTGTCAGAGTAGCGGGGCAAACAAAGATACCAACAGATAAGAATCGAAGTGTTCTCCTGCTCGCCAGACCTTCACTTGGTCGTGTTTGCTGTAAGTTGCATCAAAAGTTATCAACATCAAGCATCTTTTTTCTGAAACTTCTGAGTATGTTTTTTTTTTTAAAATTGAGCCTCCTATATTATTAATCAAATGTAGGCGGTGACTCCGCGTTCATGTTCAAACGTTTTGGGTAAATCATTTCAGAAAGGTGTGGAATAATAAAATTTAATTAGATATGTAAAGGGAAGAGAGTGGCTCGACGAATACATAAGTCACTTTCATTGTTTGGCATTAATTTCATTACAAAATCCTTTATTCCTGTGTGCCAGCTCTGTAAAATCCGTGAAATTTGTGAAATCTTTTTAAGTTATTGGCAGATTGGTGTCTACAGGTGTAACATTTGGTTGGACCGTAACTTCAACGTAAATTAAACGAACTTTACTAGTAGGATCTCTAATTTAGATTTTTGGAGTATGCAACCCAATGATTCAAAATTGTTTTCGGTTTTCATTGTAATTTTTTCATTAACCTATATTAATAATTATCAAAATTCCTTCCTAAATATCTGAAACATGCCCTTTTCTATAAATAAAATTACGTAGTTAAAATTATAAAGATAAATAATTTAATACAGGCAAAATTGTTCTATTAAAAATAACTGCAAGCGCACATAGGCAAAAAATATGACGCTAATTACATTATAACCTCAATGTTCAAATATTTACTAGTTATTGCCATATCAGTGTGTGATGCGGTAATTTTTGTGTGATATATATATATATATATATATATATATATATATATATATATATATATATATATATATATATATATATATATATATATATATACATATATATATATATATTCTCACGTATTGATTCACGGATGGAAAAATGTGATGACACTATATTCCGGGATATCATCCGTTCGCTCGTTGAACTCCGACTGGAATCCTGCAAATCGTGCATCCGACTGGAATCCTGCAGACGTTTCGCCAAAATCTCACTTGGCATCTTCAATGCTCGCGCTCCGAAAACGCTTCGAAGTTCGGATGCAAGATTTGCAGGATTCCAGTCGGAGTTCAACGAGCGAACGGATGATATCCCGGAATATAGTGTCATCATATATATATATATATATATATATATATATATATATATATATATATATATATATATATATATATATATATATATATATATATATATATATATATATATATATATATATATATATATATATATATATATATATATATATATATATATATATATATATATATATATATATATATATAAGGAAATATACATACTCATAAAAGTTTTCTTTTAGAAAGCTTATTTACTTTAGAAACTAAATAAATAAAAGAAAACTTTTATGAGTATGTATATTTCCTTATATATATATATATATATATATATATATATATATATATATATATATATATATATATATATATATATATATATATATATATATATATATATATATATATATATATATATATATATATATATATATATATATATATATATATATATATATATATATATATATATATATATATATATATATATATATATATATATATATATATATATATATATATATATATATATATATATATATATATATATATATATATATATATATATATATATATATATATATATATATATATATATATATATATATAAGGAAATATACATACTCATAAAAGTTTTCTTTTATTTCTTTCTTTATTTAGTTTCTAAAGTAAATAAGCTTTCTAAATCTGAAAAAAAAATAAGAAATAGAATTTTGAAAAAAAAAATTCTATGTAAATTTTAAAAAATTGTCATGGTATTATTTAAAAAATCTTTTAAAATAGCGTATTTTTGAAATATATTTTGAATTGTAATCGTTTGTAATTTATCAATTATTTTTTGAAAATCCATAAAAATCTTGTGAAATATGTGATATCTGAAAACCATTAATTACTGGTGAAATTCTTAAAATCTATGAAATCCTATGATTATGTGAAATCTGGTGTACCAATCTTTGTTGGTGATTCGCCACTCGATACCACCAGGGTTTGAGTAAATTTATAGGTTTTGCGTATTGTAGCCTCTAAAAATGCTGTGCCAAAAGCGTCCCGGTAGGATATTCGTAAAAAGGAAGGAATTTTAACTGAACAAAAATTATAGGCATACTAATAAAGCTTCCCGGCTCAAGGTAGTGAAGCGGCAAAGAGAAAATCCTGAAAATTATTTTTAAATTGATTTTTTTTTCCAGAATAACTACAGATAACTAAAATGAACATCGTTTTAAAGTTGGGATAAATTCCATTCTTTCTCGTATATTTTCGGAAATAAATATCAATGTGAGAATGACTGAAAGCATTTTATCAAACTTAGACTCGCTGTTAGGCTATCAACGCTGCCCTAACCGAATTGGTTGTGGGATCACTGCAGATAATATTTATTTACTCAACAATATCACTATTGTTGCAACAAAATATTGCAAAATAAATCGTTTAAAGCACTAGCGACAACTGCATTTGGATATCTCTTTCCTAACCTATAATATCTGTAAAACGAATAAAAACAAAATGGCGCCATCTTTGGAAATATTTTCAGGAGACCTACCATATTGGTAAATACCATATAGCTACTATGAAGAAAATTACATACATGCGTATACACCAGATTTAAAATCCTGTTTTCAAACTTTTTTCAACCTTGCGGTATTTAACAACCATCATCGCCTCTGATAGATTATCAATAAGTTTGCATGCGGCATTTTTACGGCTTTATTTTCTCGAAATATGCTTAGATCGCGTCAAACATTCTAGGAAAACGATTTAAGTTTGTAAATTTCGGTCAACGTGCGGGTTAGTGTTTGAAATCTAAAAGCAGAAAATCATTACCTTCTGTACAAAAATATCGATGCCGCCTGGTAAATACCATCCTAATATTCATTTCTTTTTAGCAAATTATGTATTAATATTTCAATGAAAAATTAAAAATAATAACACAGGTAAAGTACTATCATCTTTACGTTTTAACGAAAGATACTCCATCGTATAGATTCATTTTTTAACCAATAAAATCGTCAACATACACCTTAAATAATATGATTGACGCTTAAACACCAAGGTTCACTCGGATTTTAAATATTTCGAAAGAACAAAAATTAGTATTCAATAATAACAATTTTACTGAATATATTCCCATAGATACGACATTATTTGGAGTTTCTATTTCTTTTATTGATTTATCTTCTTTTTCTACCTTTTGTTTACAATAAAAGGGCATTTTTCTTTATTTAAAAAAGTGGGAGGCTAAGTTTCTCATTAGGTCACCACAAAATTCTATGAAAAAAAAAAACAGTTTCAAGATAAACGGGGCAAAAATTTTGCTTAGGTTTAATGCCTTTTTGGGATCATTATGAGAAGAAAACATCGCATGAACGTATGTCTCACTCAGTGGGATAAGATTTTTTAATAATATCTGTATATTTGAAATTCGAATTTTTGCACAGATTTGATCTTTTAAATTTTTTAAATTCGTCGTTCCGTTTTCGCGTTTAAAAAATAAAGCGATCGAATTTCCTTGGAAATGAATGTTGATTTCGAAATTGATTTTCGTTTCGAGAGAAATCACGAACGTTAGTTTAGAATAGAAGGAAATAAAATGTCCTTTGATGAATACTTAACTACGGTTAAAAATTAATTAAAATATCCAAAGTGGTATTTCAGATATTGTAAAAAACATTTTTTTTTTAATTTTCACCCTCTATCCCAAAAATTGAAACGTTTAAGGGAAATTCATGTGAAGTTCTCCTCTTACAATGGGCCCAACAAGTGTCAATTAGAAAACACCTTTTTGCATGTAAAGTAATTAAAGTCATTTTTATACTTTTTTGTCCGCATACAAACATTTTTTATTTTATTTTTATTATAATATCAGTATAAATTAGTCCGGTTTCATGCAGTAAACCGTCGAACGTGCCAAAAGCGCTGAAAAGCTCTCTGGCAGTTGGAGATATTTTCGAGATTTATCTTTTATTCAGGCGAGCCGTTGAACTTTCTAGATTGCGAAGTACGAATGGCGCTCAAGTCGGGATTAACTAAAATCCGCAAGCATCCTTTTCAAAACGGAGAGAGAATTTTCCTCAAAAGGACAATTATCAATATCGGGGACCTGTTATTGTTGCCTCCAGCCCCCGCCCCCCGGTATTTTGATCGATTTCGTCATTTCTAGCACGTGTTAAAAGGGCTTCGACTTCGTGAGCCGTCTTGCGAAAATGATAAAGTGGCAAAGTTCTCCACTACGGGTTAAATTTTATATTAACTTCGTTTAGTTTTCCGGTAGTTTCCCTTGTCGAAAATGCAATAATGCGTTGTAACGCGGCGGAATAATATTTGTATAGTGTCTCTCAAAATAAATCGTCTTTATTTTTTTTTTACTTAACAACAAAAAATGATTTATTCATAGGTAAGGGTGAGAATGAAACCACCTCCCAAAATTTAGATAAATATTTCCCCATAGGTAAATCCAATATTTCCCCGTATATCCTGGTATTACCCCAATCTCTCACTATATTTACCCAAATATTTCCCCTTATTTGATGCAATATTTTTCGACAAGGTACAGTATAGCAATTAACTTAAAAAAATGTTTTATCTATTGTTTCTCTCAATAATATCTAAAGGACTTAAAATAAATAACTCAAACTTAAACGAAGTTTGACACTTGAATAAATGCCGTAATAATAATACAAGATATATATTTAATTTATTGACAAAATAA